ACATTTATTTGCTAATCCTAATATGATAATCCAACAGAGGTCAACTAAGGATAAATATGCCAACAATCTGTTTTAAAGCAATGTAATTTGTTAGACAAAGTAACTGTTAAATTTAATTTAAGGTAATCAACTAACACGTCAATCCCAAAATAAAACAAACCTTGATTTAATCTTGGTATTTAAAAGTATAAAAGCAAAGGAGAGCAAAGCAGGAAACACTATGGTGAGTCAGTCCCCTCAAACTCCTCTGGTAAAGGAGGTCAGTTCCCCCCAAACCCCTCCAGTAATCAAATTTCAACATATCAAGTATGTGTGCCAAGTTTGGTCCACATCCATCGGTGTTTGGGTTCACAGTGCTCTCTGGATGTGAGCTACAACCCCCCCCCCCACCACCACCACCCCAAATCAAGGTGAATTTTCCCCAGTGACCTCCAGTATTTTTTGCTGGTCATGGGATCTCTGTGTGCCAAGTTTGGTCCAATTCCATCTTTGGTGGAGTTCAAAGTGCAGGTGAACTATAAATCCTAGTACCTGCAACTCCAAAATGCCCAGGCCAATTCCCCTCAAAACCCACGAGTATTCAAATTTGGGCATATTGGATATTCATGCCAAGTTCGGTCCAGATCTATCATTGTTTGGGTTCATAGTGCACTCTGGATGTAGGTGAACTACAACTCCTATAAATCCCTCCAAGACCTTCAGTATGTTTTGTTGGTCATGGGGATTCTGTGTACCAAGTTAGTTCCAGGTACATCATTGGTGGAGTTCAGAGTGCTCTTAGTTTGAATGATACATCCCAGTACCTACAACTCCTACAAATCATGGTGAATTCTCCCCAAACCTCTCTAGTATGTTCAGTTGCTGATCAATTTCTCTGTTTGCTGTGTGCCATAGAAAAGAATAGGAAAGGATTAAAGGAGAGACAGTGGGAGGAGTCATGCAAATTCCACACCAATGAAGAGAGTAAGAAACACTGGGATGTCTATGGAGGAAACACATAAAATCTAGGATGAAATATTCCCCGTATGAAAGCCTTCACTTGGGTGGTAGGCAGTATGGTGTTTATGGAGGACATTGGCAGGGCTCTTGTTCATGTTCATGGTGCTCATTAAAACTTGCAATGTCATTGGAGGGAGGGCCTTTGGTGTCTCCTGAGTAGTGAGAGCTAAAGCTGTTTGTGGAGGCAGGAGCTTGTCTGTGTAAGTGGACACTCCAGCCACATACACACATACATATTTTCATTTTTATTATGTGTTTAGATAAAAAACAATAGCTTGAATTTATTAAATGAGATTGCAAACTGAAGAGATAATGGGATAATCCCACCAATCCTCAATTAAATGGTTCACTTGTTATTTCTCCCTCATTTACTATGGATGCAGCACAAAATGTAGCAGAAATTGATCATTAAAATTAGTAATTTCAGTTAAAACTGGGTGTTTTACAAGTTAAAATAGAAATGACCTTTGATTTCATTTGACTAGCTAGATGCCTCCAGTAGCTTAACAAGCTTTTTCAGTCTCCTATCAGCATTTTACGGCTCATGAAGGAAAATGAGGATTAAAACTGCCAGGCATGGCATGGTACCGTGGTACATAATCAAAATATGTCAGGAAAGCTCATGAGAGATTAAAATAGCTGCCAAGTCAACAGAAACAGGGTCAAACTTTTCAAATCAAGTTGGAAAGGCACACTTACAGTCAAATAAGATGGCAATGGCCCATTTCCAAAGTAATGATTTTAGTTCAGTAAACCTTGTTTATTCAACTGGAAAGGCTCATTGTAAAAATGGGAACCAGGACTCGGACTGGAAATTAAAACTGTGCTTGCGTGTTTCCCTCTATCTCTGTATTACATCTTTGAAACAAGGCTTGTGCTTTGTTAACTTACAAATCTCCTGTCCCAGATGAACTCAAAACTTGTGGTTTAATCTTAGAACAAAAAACCGGACTCCTTAACTCAAACAAATGAAAAAGCCAAGTCATTCTACACCAGTGGTTCTCAACCTTCCTCATGCTGCGACCCCTTAAAACAATTCCTCATGTTATGGTGACCCCTAACCATAAAATTATTTTCCTTCCTACTTCATAACTGTCATTTTGCTACTGTTATCAATCGTAATGTAAATATCTGCTACTGTTATCAATCGTAATGCAAATACCAGATATGCAGGATGTATTTCCATTAACTGGACCACATTTGGCACAAATACCCAATACGCCCAAATTTGAATACTGGTGGGGTTGGGAGAGGGTTGATTTTGTCATTTGGGAGTTATGGTTGCTGGGATTTATAGTTCACCTGAAATCAAAGAGCATTCTGAACTCCACTGACAATGAAATTGAACCAAACTTGGCACACAGAACTCGCATGACCAACAGAAAATACTGGAAGGATTTGGTGGGCATTGACCTTGAGTTTTGAAGTTGTAGTTCACCTACATCCAGAGAGTGAACTCAAACGATGATGGATCTGGATGAAACTTGGCACGAATACTCAATATGCCCAAATCTCAACACTGGTGGAGTTTGGGGAAAATATTCCTTGACATTTTGGGAGTTGTAGTTGCTGGGATTTGTAGTTCACCTACAATCAAAGAGCATTCTGAACCCCACCGACAGAATTGGCCAAACTTCACACATAGAACCCCCATGACCAACAGAAAATCCTGTGTTTTTTGGTGGTCCTTAGTGACCCCTCTGACACTCCCTTTTGACCCCTTCAGGGGTCCCGACCCCCAGGTTGAGAACCACTGTTCTACACTATTTCTATGACATTAAGAGTGCATTGATTGAGTACTGAAAAGGCATTTCCCTGGCTCAAAATGTCGGGGCACGGGCTCACCAGCACTCAAGGCGAACTCTGCACAAGCTCAGGAGTCCCTGTAAAGTCCAGGCAGCAATGCAAGGAAGAGGCCACAAGTTGGATTCTTACTACAAAGGCTATTTATTGTGAGCCAGCAATAGGCGATGGTAGGGTGCCCACTGCACAAAAAGGTCTGCCGCAACCTCAAAATGGGGTTGCAAGGCTTTTATTACTTTTATAGAAAGTCCAAAGCATATTCTCATTGGCGTACAAAGATCAATCATTAGTCTAAGCTGGCTAATACAGATTTTCATTGGCTCTCTATGATTCTAATGACCAAGAAGGCAAACAGGTGGTAGGTTAATGTGGTTGGTTAACAATGGCACAATTATGCTTTCATGTCTCTGACCCTGACTGTTTTAATTGCAATGGGTCTGTGGGTTTGTCTTATTTGCTTTTCTGTTTCAAGCACAAACTTCAAGTGGCTGAGAAATTAGGGGATACTATCTAACCAGTTCTACTCTGATGAATTCATCCTTGAGAGTATTTTCCTTTCTGTGGCAGCATTTTCTCCAAACATCAGCTTTTTTTGCAAACAAAGGCCTCTGTAAATCAGGACATATGGGACTTACAATCATTAGAAGCATCCATTAAAATTCCTTTTAAAACTACGTCTCCCTCAAAAGCATTTACGTTAAATCAAGAAATTCACTTGGTCAGGACAATAACCTTCAACTACAACTTGGCAATTCTGAAATCCATTCCTTTAAAAATCCACATGGCAATTTGTGCAAATTTGCTAATAGCCTCAAGTTTGGATAGCATTAATTCAAAGAAACCAAGGCAAAATAAAAATTAAACTGCCAACTTGGCATCAACACCAGATTTTTCCAAGATGGGCTGGTTTGTCCTATGTAAGAAACCAGGGGACCCTTGGGAGTCCTGGCTTGCTCTGTATAAGCAGCGTTGTGATGCACATGGCATGGCTGTTCCTGCAAGACTGAGCAAAGCCAAAGCACTGTGGTTTATTTACCTTCTTTTTAAAAAATGCCGCTTTATTCAGTCATGTTGTCTGAATGTGGCTGCAGCTAAGCTGGAATCTGGCTTCTTTCCTTTCCCATCTCCAAGATGGACAAGAAATCAGATAAAGAAACTGCAGGACAAGCCCTGGATTGTTTGACTACTTGTGCGTGCGAAGCAAAAAGAAAAAACACCTACACCTGCATTTGGGTAACACAATAAATAAGCCAGAGGAAAACTCTATGGTTTATTTGGCTATTTCTGCTGCAAATGGGAATGATTTGTTGGTTCCCTGGCTCCTTTTATTGCACAAACTATTCCGATGTGTCATCATTCAGTAGTGTAATTTCTGTATGACTGAGTCACAGTTCAAGCTTTTGTTGTTTTAAAGAAAAGGATTGCTATGTAAATCTGCACAGATTCTAAGGCATACAATATGATTCAGAATTTGAGGGCATAACCTCAAAAGTGTGCTTTTTCCAAGAAAAAAATTCAATATGGCAAGAAACAGGAGTAATATCAAAAGTGAGCTGCACTTTAAGCAATGGAATCCAGACTTTCAGCAAAATAGATGAGGGCTACTTTTGTGTCAAGAATGTCATTTTATAATAAATGAACGAATATGGACATTGTGGGTTCAAAGTAAGTACAAAAAGGTAAAGGTAAAGATTTCCCCTTGACATTAAGTCTAGTCGTAGAATCTTCTATGACCCAATCTCAGTTCTTTGAACATTAAAATTCTGAACCTGGGAGCGGGAACCGTGATGAATCACGTCTTTCAAGCAAGCCCAAGCTGTGTTTGAACTCTGTTCATGGGTGGTCCTACTCCAAAAACGATTGTACTACAGAATTATGATTGACCACACACCAGCCTTAAATTAAAATGCCTGCAGAATAAATGTTGAAATACCATGCATTAATAAATGATTCCTTTAAAAAAGGTTCCGGTTCTTTCCTGCCCCATTCTCACCTCTTCCATTGCACGTAGAAGATATTTAAAACCGCTCTGGATCCCCCTCTATAGGATCATGTACAATATGCAGTGGGAATAACTTATACAACATTGCCTCTCATTTGTCTTATGGTTTTCAATAATCTGTTCATCTTCTCTGTGCTTTAGCAGTAATACAATTATGGCAGATTTTTTTTATTGTGCATGAAAATATGTTACTTACCCTCTTTGAAACAAATCCACATTGTAAAATTTGTGGAGCTCCACGGAGAATTCTACCATTGCTTGTACTTCACTCATTTTTATGTAGATGCAGAAGCTGAGGAACGATTGCCAGCACCTTATTTACTGGGGGAGAAAGACAAGACACTTGAGTTGTACACACACCAGACATGAGCCATTAACAACTATGATACCTTTTGCATTTATAGCCTTAATGAATAAGTGTTTCATGACCCTTGGTGCAGTCATAGCTTTCTATGTTTTAAGCTTCATATCCATTGTCAGAATAATGGTAAGTTCATCAGTGTAGCTACAGTAAACAACACATAGGGAGAAATAATTTCTGCTTATTTATTTATATTATTTATAGTGGCAGTCCTCACACCCACTAGGACATAAGTGTCACTTAATTCAGTGGGTGTACCTTAAAGTAAAACATGTTTAGGATTTGTATGCAAACGAGTGTTTTATCATTGAATTACTCTTAGAACAGCAAATCATTACATATAAAGATTTACCAATACAGGGAGAAACAAATTTGCCTTCCATTTTTTTCCAGCAATAAAACTACAAAAATGTAATTCTAACCACGTGGATAAGATGCTTTCTCAGCCTAGGTGTCTTTGGATATAATGCCAAACTGCAGTTTCACACAAAGGAGTAGAACTTTTGACCCTTCAAATTATTTAGTGTACAACTCCTATGACAGTGGTTGACATACATATCCAATGCAATTTTCTGAATCAGGGCCCCAAATAACCCAAGAAGAGGTTAAAAACAAAGACGCAAAGAATGGGGGTGTGTGTATGTAATGTCTCATCTTTGGTGATGTTGAGTTGGGATGAGGGAAACTATAGCTCAGTGGTTGTCAACCTGTGGGCCCCCAGATGTTTTGGCCTTCAACTCCTAGAAATTCTAACAGCTGGTAAACTGGCTGGGATTTCTGTGAGTTGTAGGCCAAAACACCTGGGGACCCACAGCTTGAGTGTCACTGCTATAGCTCAAAATAGTAGAGGAGGAGCAAAAGATCCTAATTTAACATTACATTCATATTCCATTTACTCATTCCTCTATCTTTTTCTTCCAATGCATCACTGAAATCTTGGTTTTGTTTTTTTATATAGTGATTTCATTCATTTCATGTAACATAAACATCTTGCATGAAGACTGAAAATTTTATCTTTAATAGTCTCCCCATTCAGCAGGTAAAACAACTTGTAAATATTCTATTCACCCTGATACAAAATGATATTGATAATGCCAAGTAGGTTGCAGAGACATATTAGTGGGCTGAAGGTTATACTATTAAAATAATGTTATTTTTACCTCTAGTAATAAATAATCCATTTTAATACAGGTAATAAGCAGTCTTCCATTTTTCCATTTCCGTAGTCAAAAGCATGCTGCTTGCTCTGTAAGAAAAAGACCTGAATTTATTGTATATCTGCATGCAAACAAACCTCCCACATAGTTGTGTTCTCATTTTTCTGGTTTTCGGATATGAGTTTAAAAAACAACACTACTTTAGCTTGAAAGTCAATCCCCAATAATTGCTAAATGAAACAGACATCAAAGTTTGTATATTGTTAGAGATACATTAAAGAGTAAAAGGGCGCGTCTACACTGACCATTTAATGTGGATTTAAGTTTGCTTGAGAGAATAATGTTTAAATGATGTATCCCACAAACACATGTAGAAACACACACAAGAACACACACATGTTTCTGGAATAAGAAAAGTCAGGGGATACTTCAAAATAGTGCCCCAGATGCACATAAGTATACTCCAGTATAAACCACATTGCAAGATAAAACCAATTAAGATAAGTAATGCACACAAACACATTGTGGTGGGAGGAAGGCAAAAAACAAACAAACAAAAACACTGATTCCTTCACGGTGGTGAAGCTGCAGATATTGAGTCAAGGCCTGGGTAGTGCATACAAGCACCACCCAAGCCTTGACTCAATTCGATTGTTTCATGTGTAATCAGTTCTATGAAGAAATTGCTTCTCCCTTGCAGGTTTCATCCCACCATAAGTGGGATATGTAGATATGCCCAAAGACTCTGGGAATTGAAAATATGGTTTTATTTTTGCAATCTACCCAATGTGTTTTGATTTAATAATAATTAATGGCTTTCCTTCTTCATGGGTGGTTAAAAATATACAAGAACAATACATAAAAAACAAAAACAAAAAAACACAGGAGGAAAATTACAAAATTAATTTTGTGTTATCACGATGCATGAAAAATGTCTCAATTTTAAAAATGCCTGTTAACCCAAATACACTAATACACATATTACTTATGGTGAAACTGTAAAACCTCCTGCAGGGGCACTAAATTCCTGGAAACCAGTTTTGAAGTTGGCTGGCTGAATGAGTCACTCACTCTGCATTTGGCATCTTAATTGGCATGAAGGCTAAACACAATTTGCACTAGCCATCCTTCAGTATTATACCAAAAAAGCACCTCTAGCATAAACACCATATTAAATGGAACATAAGCATAATGTTCCATTGTAGATTTCATTTTATATCCTACAGAAATCATACAGCTCAGAAGAAAACAAAATATAAAAGAAATCATGTCATGTTCTTTAGATACACTTTCTGATCCAAATGGAACGTATTTCCTAATTCAGACAGCTTGAAGATCTTAGCACAAGGAGAACAGATTGAAAATAATTGCTCTTATATTTCTGGAAATGCTTCATCCTTTGAATAGTAGTAAACAGATTGTATTTTTCTTTCCATTTTCAGGCTGCAAAATAATACCCATTAGTCACAATTATTCCAATCTAGATACTAAAAATCAAGTCCATCAGCTAAGAAAGAAAGTTTTATAGAACCCATCAGTTACTAAAAATTACCAAAACAAGAATAATAGAAGAACATGGTGTTGGCAGGAATGCAAAATACTTTGAATGCCAATATCCATTTGAAAATAAAGCTGTTTAAGCAGATTTATCCTCAGTGTCAGTTAAATGGCACAAAGAACTTCAAACCCCCAAATGAAGCTGTTTCACATCAAATAAAGCAACTTTAGAGGATGACTATTTGCTACTGGAGTTTAAAAAAAGAATAAGCAAGAACTGCTCAAATTAAGGAAACAACTCCTGTTACAATTAAATGACATCTGCAAACGCCATAGAAAGGCTCTAGTCTATCTCACTTTTACCATAACTAGCTTGTAAAGGAGCAAGGAGGGGAAAAGAGAGACAAAACACAAAAGGCTATATTTGTAAGTAGTACTTGGGGGCCCATGGTGGCACAGCTGGTTAAACCGCTGAGCTGCAGAACTTGCTGACAGGAAGGTCGGTGTTTTGAATCTGCGTGACCAAGTGAGCTCCCATTGACAGCCCCAGCTTCTGCCAACCTAGCAGTTTGAAAACATGCAAGTGTGAGTTGATCAATAGGTACCGTTTTGGCGGGAAGTTAACAGCGCTCCATGCAGTCATGCCGGCCACATGACCTTGCAGACATCAACGGACAACGGAGGCTCTTCGGTTTAGAAATGGAGATGAGCACCAATCCTCAGAATTGAACTATACTAGATTTAATGTCAAATAGAAACTTTTACCTTTACTTTACTTGGGCAAAATTTAACATCATGTCCCCAAATTTCAGTGAATCCAATAAAAGCCATGGGATCCTGCACTCACACTCCCTTGTCCTCTTCTAGCACTTCCTTGAACCTGAATAAATCAACACTCAGTTTTACTTGCATGTATTTCTAGCTTGTATTTCTATTATTATATATGAACCCAGAATGATCACTTATGTAAAATTAACTTTAGTTCATTTAGTAAGCCAGACATCAATTCTGGTTAGTTGCTGACCTCTTCAGCAATTGAATTTAGTTTAATTTAAAAGTACAATTCCAGTCTTGTACTTAATGATAATGAAGGAATGTTATAAAGTGAAGTTTAATCATAGTTTATTTCTCATCCCACTTGGGAGAAGAAAATTGGAGTGCATAACTCCGGGGCTCTGCTTGGGCTCATAAAGTTTTCCACAATTGGTACTAAATTTGGGAATAGTTAGATGTGAACAGGGCCAAAGAGATTGGAAATCCTCCCTTCTGTCAGTATCACTATATATATTTTTGATCTAGACCAGTGTTTCTCAACTTGTGGGTCCCCAGATGCTTTGGTCTTCAACTCCCAGAAATCCTAACAGCTGGTAAACTGGCTGGGATTTCTGGGTGTTGTAGGCCAAAACACCTGGGGACCCACAGGTTGAGAACCACTGGTTTAGACTCTAGGCCACTTACCATAAAACCATGGACTAAATCCAATTCTAGTTGTACTAAGAGTTGTGTCCCCTCAAGTTATTTCTGACTTGCAGTGCCTTTAAAAGTAATATATCCCAATCTTCCTTGGAAGATGAGAGCGTGTGACAGTCCAAAGGTCACCCCAATGAGTTTCCATGGCTGTGTAGAAATGTAAACTCTGGTCTCCTGGACTGCTAGTGCATCACACAAATTACTACACCACCTTGGTGCCTACTAATAATTTACCTCAATTGGATTCATTATAAGAACCATTCATTTCAACAAGTCTACATGGGAATGTTGGATTTAGCCCAGTAGCTATCTAAGCAGTTATACAGCAATAAGCTATAGATATATCCCCCATGGATACCAAAATCCGTGGATGCTTAAGTCTCATGATTTAGAATGGCAAAGAAAATTGTATCCTTTATACAAAATAGCAAAATCAAAGCTCACAAAAGGAAATTATTCAAATTGAGCATCCACAGGTGACAAAAACATCCATACATAAACGTAGGAGAGCTGATAGAGGAGGAACAGTCGCACTTCCTTCTCAAAGCCTTCCCGTGGTGGATTACTCCATCCCACCTCTTCCCTCTAGTTGGAAGACAATGTTTTGACAGGCTCACTATGAGATTCTTCTTGCCCAACAATTTTGCTAGAAAGCACCCAGCTTGAGTTTCTATATTGGTTGCAGACGTGGGTACTGTATATAATCGATACAGATTTTTGTCAAAAAATCACCCTCAAAAACCTGGATTGATTTATCCACAGGCCAATGCAGGTGCTGTACCTTAACTCTTTTCCAAAAAGAATAATTCACATCTCTGAATAGAGTGGTGAAAGGCAAGAACTTAATCCATCTTGGGAGAAACTAAAAGGAGTATCAAGCACTTCTATTCTTTTGGCTGTGGCCTTCTTTAATGCTGGATCAGAAAAATGGCAGAACAGCAATGAGTCTTTGGGGCTTCCCCTCAAAGGAGAACTGAGAAAGTAGTGGGATTGTGTTTCTATTAGCTTCTCCCAGGATGGATTATGTTCCAATCTTAGCCACTCTACTCAGAGAAGGGGACATCTCCTCTTTTGATGAGTTATTGCTGCACTTTATCTTTTAACAAAAACTAGCGTACATACTCGGTGTTGCCTGGTGTTGGAGGGGTCGCGCTTCCCCTTTTTCCTTCTTCCTCTTTCCCTCCCCTCATACATTTCCCCCTTTCCTTTCTCTTTTTTCCTTTTCTGCTTTTTCTTTCTTCCTCCTCTCTCCTCCTTTTCTTCCTTTCCCTTCTTTTTCTTTTTCTTTCTTTCCTTCTTTCCTGCCCCTTTCTCCCTTTTCCAACCCTGTGGCAACATGGCTCGCTTTGTGGCTCCTCCCTCCCTCCCTTCACCTCATACACATATCACCTTTCTTTCCCAGTGACATCACAGGGGACCACTTCACCCAGCAACGCCCAATCCTTAACCTAGCAACAACTAATCCAGTGACATCACAGAGGGCCACTTCACCTAGCGACAGCCTTTATGGTATAAACAAACAGACATACTTTGAGAGACAGAGAAAAAGAGGGAGAGAGAGAGAGAGAGAGAGAGATGGAACCATCCTCGCCTCTGAATAGAGTGATGAAAGGCCTCTTCTAATATCTGGATGAAAAACTGCAGTCTGGGGCAGCTGAGATACTGAGATAGTACTGGCACTTTCCCTACAAAATGACATTCAATTTATGTTTAGGCGATATCACAATTCGGCCTCTAAAATCTGCCCTTAACTTACAGAAAAATATACCTATGATATTTCCTTTTCCTATAGCCAACATGGAAGTGATGACTACAACCCTCCATTGACGTATTTGTATGGGCTATTAGCGCTGCAGACTTCGTAATCAAGTTGAAACAATGACAAAGAGAAGTAATGTAGGACTAGCTTCATAAATATACAAAAGTATGTTCAATTCGTAACATGGGATGGGCTCTTTAGTTCCCAACCATGTGATGGGTACATACGACAAGAAATTGCAGGAACTGTTTCTTTGGGACATTCCTTTGCACAACATAGCATGTTTTCCATGAAGGCTCCACAGCATGCAAAGAATGTGGTTTGAAGCATCTCCTACATACCAACCACGTGAATTCAAAGCATTCCTAAAATTACTGC